CGTTTTTATTGACCCCGGTTCCGGCTGCTTCTCCTCCGTTCCAGTAAAACTCAATGTCGTCGGTGGTGTAGCCATCTGAAACCGAGCACAAGCCAGTGTGTTCAGTAGCGCTCAGTGGTCCAGAAATTCATATCTGTATCTACATGTGTGTGTGTGTATACACATATATATTAGAGGTTTTCCCCCCTATATGACTAATGCACTTGTCAGAGAGACAGGGAGACAGAAAGTGAGAAATCCCCTCTGGGGCAGTGGTGGGGGGATGGCCAAGCCACAATCCCTTCTCCTCTACTCTCCTCTTGGGATCTTGGGCACGCACGCACACGGCCTGGTGTGAGTTTCAAGGAGCTGGGTCTGAGACTCAAACCGCAGTCCACTACATGGGAGTCCAGTGCCTTAATCACGCCGCCACCCGCTGGCCCCTGGAATTCATCCTGAAGACAGCCTGAGAGCTGGCGGGAAGACGCAGATGATGGGGTTGCGTGGCTTTGCGTCGGGTGGCAGAGAGCTCGCAGGTCGAGAGCCGTGTCTGATGGGCTGGTCGTGACCTCGCTGAGAAAACCCGTGGCCACGTGACCTGGCTTCAGTAGACAGAAGCTCCGGATCATTTCGTAGTACTTGGTATCAGTGCCACACACTCACTCTCAGTGTCTCAGCGGCCCTCTTTTGTTAAAGGAGCGGGTAGGGCCAGCCGGTGGCATGGTGGTTAGGGAGGCTGGATCCCACCTGGCTGACTGTGCGGTTTGAGTTCCAGACCTGGTGGCCTAGAAAGCATGTCAGGTGCATGTGCTTGTGTGTCTACAGTCCCCAGAGGAGAATGGAAGAGAAGGGACTGTGGCATGGCTATGCCCCTGGGGAGAGAAGGGAGAGAGGGGGGTGTGCTCTCTCATTTTCCCTCTCTTTTTTTCTCTCTCTCTGGTGAGCCTTCATGTTCTCTGGCAAAAATGTTTTAAAAAGCCCCTGGAAGTTGGCTGGATTTTAGGTTCCTGACTGTGGATTTTGGACATGCATTATTTAACACCAATAATGACACTAACAAGTAATTATTCATAAAAATTATTTAATTCCATTTGTTATTATTATGATTTTAATTAGACCAGAGAGAGATAGAGAGAGATAGAGAAAGTGAGAAAGCAAGCTGTCAGGTCCGGGACTGGAATCACAGTCAGCCATGCGGGAGTCCAACACCTTAACCACTATGCCATTTGCCGGCCCCCCACACTAACAAGTAATAATAAATGAGTATCTATTTGTTAAAAGGGGAGGATAAAGCTGGAATCCACAGTGGTGTGGTGGCTAAAGCACTGGGTCCCACATGGTCCGCTGTGTGGTTTGAGATCTGGGCCTGAGGCTTAAAACTCACACCAGGCACATGTGCGTGCATGCCCAAAATCCCAAGAGGAGACGGGAAGAGAAAGGACTGCAGTATGGCCATGCCCCTGGGAGGTGATTTCTCGGTTTCCCTCTTTCTCTGTCTCTCTCTCTCTGGCAAGTGCATGTGCCCTAGAGCAAAAACTAAAAAAAAAAAAAAAGAAAAAGGAGGGGAGGGGGCAATAGAAAGAGGGAAAGGATGGAAGGACAGAGTGTAAGACTAGATTTGTACATTTCCATTAACTGAGCGAGATATTTAAAAAATAAACATACATTTATTTTAAAAAATTAGGAAAGTCTCTATTCATATCCTTTTATTTTAGCTAATATTATTATATCTCATATGTAGGCAAACATTTCAGCCACTAAATGAATTATTTTCTTTATTTGCAATAGAGGAAGCATGTATGTATGTGTGTATGTATGTATGTGTGCATGTATGTATGTGTGCGTGTATGTATGTGTGCATGTATGTATGTGTGCATGTATGTATGTATGTATGTGTGTGTGTGTGTGAGAGAGAGAGAGCGAGAAAAGAGTACCCTCCACGGCTGGCCACGCCACAGTCCCTTCCCCGTGCTCCGCCCATCAGCTCTGAGCACGTGCAGGTGTGGCGGGCATGTTCCAGGTGGACCGGGCTGGGAGTCCACCACGCTCGCCAAGGAGGATGCAGCCTCTCTCGAGCACCTCTTTACTGCTGTGCCAGAGAGCTGGCCCCAGGAACCACACACACTCCTATTTCCGTGGTTATGTACTTCTTTGTTTTTCTGCAGGGCACATGCTTTCCGGGGAGAGAGACGGAGAGGAAGGAGAGAGGGAAAGTGAGAAAGCACCCCCCAGGGAGGGTGACCAGGCCAGTCTTTCCTCCTTCGTCCTCCTCTTGGGGTTTTGGGCACACATGCACACGTGCCAGGTCTGGTACTCGAACCATGAAGTAAGCTGTGTGGGACCCAGCCACCTTAACCACCATGCCACCAGCAGGAACTCTGGGTAATACTTTTGTATCTTCGTTCGTAAGCAGGTGAACTTCGATTAACCCAAGAGGAATGCGGGAGGGTGCACATGGTGGCAGCGGGTCTGCCCTCGGACTTCGGCACTGAAGGGCCGTGTGGGAGGACTTTCAGTCCCCCTTCCAGCCAGTGGTGCCACTGGGTTACGGCCACGTAGGAGAGTAATTGCCCGGAAAGAAATGTATGGACCCATTAAAAAATCTAAAAATAATTTGAGGCATATTTCAGACTCTGTTTTTCTCTTTCTACTAGCTAGAGACAGAGAAGACCTTTCTAAATTCGTTTTCTATTTACATTCATCTCAAGTAAAGAAGCACGGGCCTCTTTTCCATTGGGGTCACCAGGACACATGCTCCAAAGGTAACCACGAAGCTCTTTGTAGGGGCCGTAATGCGAACCTCTCTTATTAATGCTGGCAACGTCATTTCGAAAGACAAAAAGAATCACACATTTAGAATCTAGGAGCAGGGCTGGACCCACCGTGCAGTGGTTAAGCACTGTGCAGAGGAAGCTGGCCCTCATATGTTACTGAGGTTCAAACCCCAGCCCCGGTGGCCGCAAGCCTACAATCTTGATGGCATGGTACGGATAATAGGGGGAAAGGACTGTGACCCGGCTAGGCCCTGTTTGGAGGTGCTTCCTTCCGCTCTCTGTCTCTGTTTCCCTCTCTCGCTTTTCACTCACTATCACGTGTACACACACGTGCCCTAGAATAAATAAAGGAAAAATTACAAAAAATAATAAAGCGTTAGAAATTCAAGGTCCAGTGCTAAGGGTTTATACTACCGTCATTACAGGAATGTAGGAAATTCTAATCTATGCACCCCCATGGCCTTTTTTTCAGAGGGCGTGGGCCAAAGCTGTCTTAACTATGCTACTTTAAACAGTTTACCTTCTCTTCAAAATGCTCTTTTTGAATTCTTACCCCTGAACTCATTGAATTTACAACTGTTTAATATTTGTGAGGTTTTTTTTTTGTTGAGAGGTTTTTGCTATAGGGTGCGTGTGCTCGCCAGAAAGACACAGAGAGACAGCGAGAAATCACTCCCCGGGCGGGATGGCCACGCCGCAATCCTGTCTCCTCCATTCTCCTCTCGGGATCTTGGGCACGCACGCACACGCGCCTGGCATGAGTTTAAGCCACCAGGTTTGGGAGTTAAACTGTGGTCGACTACGTGGGAGTTCAGTGACGTAGCCATTACGCCAACTACTGGTCCCAATATTTGTGAGTTTTAATCACCCTATAGATGTTATTGTTTCTTGTAATAGCTTCCATTTTAATTTTTCTGTTTAGGAAAATGAAATAATTTTAAGCTTATTTATTTATTCCACCAATTTTAGAGTCAGAGAGAGACACACATAAGTCTACACCCCATGATCCCCTCCCACCCCAGCCGGCCCCAATCGCAGGGACCAGAGTAGCTGATATGTCTAGGGAGGTCAGCATGGAGGATCTCAGAGCCTTTTGCGTGGCTCAGCCAGCCTCAGAGTCACTTCCCTGCTGTACTGAGGTCTAGCCTTATTTCATCTCTTCCTAGGTTCGAGAACTTCCCCTCTCTGCAGGGGGATCTGGATCCAGTCACCCATTCCACAATGACCCAGTGTGGAGGAGGAGTGGGAGCTACTTTCTGCTACATATACTTGGAACTAACTGGCATATTGGGGGTTTATACTAAAATAGAATATGACTGTGAGACGGTGGTCATCTTTCTTCTTTCTTGTTTTTTATTTATGATAGGTTGTGTGTGCACTTAGAAGAGGAGAGAGGGAGAGGGAGACCCGTCACAGGGCCGTGGAGCTTGGCCCTCTTCCTCCAGCCCTCAGGCCCACAGAACCCTGGCTCTGCATGCAGCCGCCTGGTGTGTTTCACACTGCGCTTCAGGGACTCGGCCACTGGCTGGCCGTGGCTTCTCTCCCCACAGACCGGCATGCTGCTACCGCGCTGCACAGGCTGGGCGGACAGATTCTTGAGAATCTGATAAAAACGTACAAAAACCCCACAGGGGGGACAAATAGAGACAGATGAGTAAGTAGACAGACAGACAGACGCAACTTGATGGCTTACTTAGGAGACTGTGGCCTCCATTCGTGGACTCAAGCCTCTTTTCCCAGGAGAAATGACTGAGGACGGCATGACAGAGAACAAAATCATAGAGATTTGGAAAGCATGAAAAAAAAAGGCTTGGAAAAGCTCATCTAGGCGATCTAAAATAAGAATCGTGGTATTCCTCAAAGAAGAGGGCTGTAGAGGAGGAACTGCCGTAAACAAGAAGAAAACACAGATTGTCTTGGGCTTAATGAGTAAACTGTTCTGCAGATCGAAGGACTCATTACATCAGGTGATCCTGACCTCGCTCCTGAACGCCAAGGGTAAAAGAAGAATCTTACAATCTTCCAGGCAGAGAGTACAAGAGGAAAGAGTATTAGACTTCTTATATGCTAGTCTGAGTAAGAAGAGATTATAGAGTGGGTCAGCCGGTGGCGGGGTGGTTAAGGTGGCTGGATCCACACGGCTGACTATATGGTTGGAGTCCTGGACCTGGCGACTCGAAAAATACACTGAGCATGTGTGTGCGCATGCTGAAAATCCCAAGAGGAGAATGAAGAAGAAGGGACTGCAGCGTGGCCATTCCTCCTGAGAGATGCGTTCTCACCTTCCTCTCCGATCTCTCTCTATATATCTGTCTCTGTCTA